TATGGGGTCCTATGGGGTCTTATGGGGTCCTATGGGGTCCTATGGGTCCTATGGGTGCCTATGGGTCTTATGGGGTCCTATGGGCTCCTATGGGCTCCTATGGGGTCTTATGGGGTCCTATGGGGTCCTATGGGGTCTTATGGGGTCCTGTGGGGTCCTATGGGGTCCTATGGGGTCTTATGGGGTCTTATGGGGTCCTATGGGGTCTTATGGGGTCCTATGGGGTCCTATGGGGTCTTATGGGGTCTTATGGGGTCCTATGGGGTTCTATGGGGTCTTATGGGGTCCTATGGGGTTCTATAGGGTCTTATGGGGTTTCTATGGGGTCCTATGGGTTCCTATGGGGTCTTATGGGGTCTTATGGGTTCCTATGGGGTCCTATGGGGTCTTATGGGGTCTTATGGGGTCCTATGGGGTCCTATGGGGTCTTATGGGGTCCTATGGGGTCCTATGGGGTTCTATGGGGTCTTATGGGGTCCTATGGGGTCCTATGGGGTCTTATGGGGTCCTATGGGTCCCTATGGTTTCCTATGGGGCCGCGCGGCGCTCGTTAATGCAGGCGCTAATTAAGCCTCACCTGTTGGTAATTCCTCCTAATTAAGGCGCCCCTAACGAAGGCCTGGATCTTAATGGCGGCCGCCCGCAGCTCCTGGTAGCGCCTGAGGAGGAGGAATTGCAGCTTAATTAGCCATTAATTAGCCGTTAATCCACGCTAATTGGGTCCATTCCCTGCCTTGGGTCGTTATGAGAAGGGCTCATTAACGAGCTGCGCTAATTAGGGCTGTGTTTTAAGTGGCCGGGCCGTTGATTTCAATGGGGTGGGTGAGCAAACTCCGATTTATTGCTAATTAGCAGTCATTAATGAGCCCTAATTGACTGAATTCACTGCCTTGGTTCATTATTAAAGGCTATTAGAGCGGTTAATTAATGAGCTGCATTAATGAGAACCTATTAGAGCCTATTAGGGGTTATTTTATCTATCTGCCAGGGCCCTGCGTTAATTAGAGCTAATTATTAGAGGCTAATGAGCCTCATTATGCAGCTGCCAGGACCCCTCATTAATTAAAG